TTTTTTTTTTTTTTTTTTTTTTTTTTCAGGAGTCAATTCAGGACGATACCGAAGTTTCATTGAATTTAAGCTTGTCGTCAAAGAAAATTCGAATAAAAGTTCTTCCTCCTCAAATACAACGACAGGTTTGATTTATTGCTTGCTTGCTACAAAGATTAATTTAGGCTGGTCATTCTTCTGATTTTTTCCAGGCTGAAAAGGAGATAGAGCACGTAAATAATACTGTAATGCAGGACAGGAAGTATCACATGGAATGTACAATAGTGCGGATTATGAAAACCCGAAAGGTTATGAAACATGCTGCGCTGGTGAATGAAGTAAGGCTTTTGTCGATGGGCTACACCAGTATTTTTTGTGGTGAGGATGCTTCTCTAAATTACTGTTTCATTGTGATTTGTTTTGTAGGTGATCGAACAAACCAAGGACCGTTTTACCCCAGACATTAACTTTATTAAAAAGAATATTGAGGGGTTGATCGAAAAACTTTATCTTCAGAGGACTGACCAAGCTGATGAGTATCAGTACCTAGCTTAAGGAATTTTCTGTATATCAAGCAACGGTAACTGTTTGAGCATAAGCGTGCGTAATTAGTGCATTTGGCTGTTTAATAAGGTGTATTGTCAAGCTGCAAGGGCTCCCATATTATTTAGGTTACTGGAATCGAGAGTGACATTTAGGAAGAAATAAGATCTTTAATTAAAGAGATTAATTTGATTTTTTTTCATAGATTTCTGTAATTTTTTAAAACGTGATTATTGGTTTTTTGTTGATTTTGCATGCTACTAAACTTTTTTCTTGTAGAGTTTGTTAGTACTGTGTTGATGTGAGTATATTAGTTGTGGCCTTCTTTTTATTTACTCAAATTGAATTTCTTTGACAAAGTAGGCATTTAGTGGTTAGGTTGACCCTCAACTGATCTTGCATTAAGCTTGAACTGCCTTATTTCTGGAGCTGTTTTTGTCATAATGTCTGTAGATCTTGTTTTTTTCTTGAATATTTCAAGCGTTTTGTTTTGTAGCTCCTATAATTGTCATGAACTCAGAAGTGTATACGAGGTATTTTAGTTTATTTTTCACATTTACTTTGCTTTTGTTTTTCTTTGTTTTAGCTCGCAGTGTGTTACTCATATCTGTCGTAAACTTCTATTTGATCTTGCCTCTGAGGTTTAAGTTTTCCTATGTATAAAGCAAATACTTATTAGAGCTATGTGGCAAGTGTAATAATTGTTACGGATAGTTTCGATTGTAATTATTTTGGATTTTGCGTTGTTTTTTACCCTTGTGATTTTTCTTCTTTGTGCAAACAGCGTTTTAGATTTGATTTTTAGAGCCTAACATTAGTTGATGGGATTCTAAATCTTCACAGTTATTCAATTTTATAGTGTCTTTTGGATCTTTCTTAGTTTTGGGGAGTGCTCACAGGAATCTTAGAAAACAACAAGTGAAGCGAAAATAGAGGATTCTTAAGTTTTTTCTTTTTTGTAAATCTTTTTTGTTTTGTTTTCAAAAATTGTTTATAATAGATCAAAAGTTTCATTTTAATGATGTAAAAAACTGCAGATAATGTTTGATATCTCTGAGTGCTCAGTTGTTTATATTGACAGCTTGAATGTGATAAAATTTTACGACTTGTTTTGTTTATTTGAGTAGATGTGTCTTGAACGGAACGTACTTCAGATGGTGGAAAGGTGGCAATAACAGTAGGTGGTAGTCGTTATATTACGGTCCTTTAAGCTCTAGATTGATAAGTTTTTTTCTACTATTTCTAACAGTTGCGGAATATGGTAACCGACAGTATTCTGTTTGTCTGTTTATCTGGTTTTGGAGTAGGGCACTTTATGAGGCATTTTGAACTGAAGATTGACGTTCTCAGTTACATTAATGCTTCTTGACTTTTTTTTTGAAATTGCTGTCATTGTGGCTAGGTGAATCAGCAAACAGAAACCTATTTCTTGAATTCTACTTTTGGAATTTTTTGGTAAACGGCACGTTTGGATGCAGATTTCAAATAATTGTTTTTAAAGAACGAATACACGCAATCTTCTTTGTTATGAATTGCGAAAGCGCTAAAGGCACGTGAAATTCAGTGCAGTTTGTTGAATTGCTCACTGAAAACAGGTTGATTCTATCGCTTCGGTAGGAACAAAGGCGAAGGAAGTAGATTGTAGTAGTTGCAGTGAAGCTAGGAACAAATAGTGGAGAGTCTCTGGATTTTGTTTTTCAAGGGTCACACTGTTAACAGGAATAAACCGTAGTTTAACATTGTTGTTTCGTGGTTCCGGTTCTGTGGGGCTTTGCCAGACATGTTTCCTTGCTTTTTGTTCTTTTTTTTTTCTTTTTTCCCCGGTGGTAGAGATTTTTTTTTTATTTGGAAAATGCTCGTCTTTTGCGTTAAGAGCATAAGCCTGGAACAAGTACAATCGAAACAGTACTTTAAACAGGCTCTTTAGTTTATAGATATTTTTGCAAAGTTTTTTTTGCATCTTTATTTTAAAACACCTGGAGATTTGGATGGGACTTTTAAAGTAAGGAACTATTGATTTTTTGAGTGATGCTATTGGAGAAATTGGCTGTTTTGTTAGTCTGAATTTAAGAGGTTAAGTTGGTCAATTTTGAGTGACAGATAAAA